AGTTCCATGTAGTATAGTTTGCTATGGTCACCGAATGTCCAGTCGTAGAGGTCTGCTGATCATGAACATAACGAATGCTCGGCAACTGCTTACTATTGTTCAATCTAAGCGGATGCTCGGCAACTGCTTACTATTGTTCCATCTAAGCGGATGCTCGGCAACTGCTAACTATTGTTCCATCGAGGCGGATGCTCGGCAACTGCTTACTATTGTTCCATCTAGGCGGATGCTCGGCAACTGCTAACTATTGTTCCATCTAAGCGGATGCTCGGCTACTTCTTACTATTGTTCCATCTAAGCGGATGCTTGGCAACTGCTTACTATTATTCCATCTAAGCGGATGCTCGGCAACTGCTTACTATTGTTCCATCTTAGCGGATGCTCGGCAACTGCTAACTATTGTTCCATCTTAGCGGATGCTCGGCAACTGCTTAGTATTGTTCCATCTAAGCGGATGCTCGGCAACTGCTTAGTATTGTTCAATCTAAGCGGATGCTCGGCAACTGCTTACTATTGTTCCATCTAAGAGGATGCTCGACAACTGCTAACTATTGTTCCATCTAAGCGGATCCTTGGCAACTGCTTACTATTGTTCCATCTAAGCGGATGCTCGGCAACTGCTTACTATTGTTCCATCTTAGCGGATGCTCGGCAACTGCTTACTATTGTTCCATCTTAGCGGATGCTCGGCAACTGCTTACTATTGTTCCATCTAAGCAGATGCTCGGCAACTGCTTACTATTGTTCCATCTAACGCCGCGGATGCTCGGAAACTGCTTAGTATTGTTCCATCTAAGCGGATGGTCGGCAACTGCTGATGCCGGATCATCTTGATATCATTCAGTAGATATGAATATGATTTCAACATAACTACAAATGTATGTCTGGATTATATTCAGAATAATCGTATATGTCAGAAAACATCGCAAGTACATACGTATGTCTCAACTGTGGTCAGTACATATGTAGCTGCTTGAAACGTAATTAGTTTGGTAACCTGCTCAGAAGGATAGCAATAGTAACGACGTAAAATATAGGTCTGTTATTTCTACATATCTAAATTGTATTAAAGTCAGCAGCTTGAGTGTGGGATGAACATAAGGTCTGTGCACCCGGTCCCCGTTTTAATATGTGGTCGACAAATGGATTCCATTCATCCATCTCTCAATCTATCATCCATGCAAACATACATTGAATATTGCTGAGCGCGGCGTTAACCAACAAAGAAACAACAAACATACAGACGTACATACAGACAGACAGACAGACAGACATACATACATACACACACATACACACATACATCACACACACATACATACACACATCACACACATCACACATCACACACACATATCACACACACATCACACACACATCACACACACACACACACACACACACACACACATACATACATACATACATACATACATACATACATACATACATACATACATACATACATACATATGTGAAAGAGATGCCTACCAGCTGGCCCAAGTATGTGTTTAAGGTGAGGGGGGGGGGGGGGGGGGGGGGGGGGGGATGCTATATACTAGTATACAAGATTGCCGAAATGTGTACAAGCATCAATATCTCATTTTGCACAGCGGTTTTAAGTCGAAGAGTCTTGATTAGTTTTCATGTTCGTTCGTTTCTGATTACGATTATGGGGGATCGATACAAGGCGCGGATTTGTTCCTATTATATAGTATAAGCCAAGGTCTCCGACAGGGTTGCGGAACATGTAACATGTATTGAAGTAGGCTAATCATATACTCTCTGCATACACGCGAATCTAATTGCTGTTCTGGGAACTCAAATCAATATGTATTGCTGGATCTACGCGCGGTTGATTCAATAAAATACGTGGAAGACTACATAAAGCTACAGAAGGCGATACTTCTGTCAAATGTTGTGTTGCGAGTGCAGGCGGTTTCGCCCTTTCTACCTTATTTACTGTTTACCAAAGGTCGAGATTGGAAAATACGAAATCGCTACAACGTCCCGAACAGAACTCCATAGGATAATAATTATGAATTTTTAAAAATATGTATTTCGTTCAAAACTCAAAAATCTAAACGCAACCTTACACCATCGGATCAAAGGACGCAATTCCATTCGGTGCTTTTCTCAAATTAGACCACTCGAACAGATTATGATTAAGTAATTTTGAAAAAACTTAAACACTCGAGTGACATGACACGAGTAGATACCATTGTTGGCAACACTGCCTCGTTCTTGTATGTTCACGTTATAGTGTGTAACAGCTGCTGGATTAACCCTAAATGCGATATCGGCATACAAGACTCCAGGGACTGGATCCTCCATCACACACACCTCGCTACAGCTGCTGGATTAACCCTGACTGCGATATCGGCATACAGGGCTCCAGGGACTGGATCCTCCATCACACACACCTCGCTACAGCTTCGGGATTAACCCTGACTGCGATATCGGCATACAAGACTCCAGGGACTGGATCCTCCATCACACACACCTCGCTACAGCTGCTGGATTAACCCTGACTGCGATATCGGCATACAGGGATCCAGGGACTGGATCCTCCATCACACACACCTCGCTACAGCTGCTGGATTAACCCTGACTGCGATATCGGCATACAGGGCTCCAGGGACTGGATCCTCCATCACACACACCTCGCTACAGCTGCTGGAGTAACCCTGACTGCGATATCGGCATACAAGACTCCAGGGACTGGATCCTCCATCACACACACCTCGCTACAGCTGCTGGATTAACCCTGACTGCGATATCGGCATACAGGGATCCAGGGACTGGATCTTCCATCACACACACCTCGCTACAGCTGCTGGATTAACCCTGACTGCGATATCGGCATACAGGGATCCAGGGACTGGATCCTCCATCACACACACCTCGCTACAGCTGCTGGATTAACCCTGACTGCGATATCGGCATACAAGACTCCAGGGACTGGATCCTCCATCACACACACCTCGCTACAGCTGCTGGATTAACCCTGACTGCGATATCGGCAAACAGGGCTCCAGGGACTGGATCCTCCATCACACACACCTCGCTACAGCTGATGGGAAACTAAAGCGTCAAACACTTTCCATAATCAAAGGACATAGCTGCTAAAATCAGAGTTCATTGATTCCAACAATAACATGAGCATGTGTTCATGAATCACTATCAAATAGTGACGAAAACAGATGTTAGCGAACAGGGAGTGTCTCCTGCCCATAGTGGCAAGGATCATTGTCTGCCTCAACAAACGACTTCAGCAATGACTGTGAACTATTACTATTAGAACTATTACCTATTTGTTGATTGCAACTGACTATTCCTAACGGGTTATATGCATTGTTTAATTTTGCATCGCTAGGGATATTCAAATGCATATAGAGCTGAAAGTAGAGAGGTTTTTAAAACGCACGTTAATAAAATATATAGATGGCTCGTGTTATTAGCATTTGTGGATGCTACGATCACACGAGTATTTCATTGACAAATTGGGTGTTCACTGACCTGTATTGTCGTAAATAGAAGAACATTTCGTCATGGCCTGCTATAACAGTAAATTCCAACCCAGATGTTGCTGCAATCTGTGTCATGTTAGCTGTGCCCCGCGCTGCGGGGTAGTTTATATGAATACTGTCAAACTGCTCATAACAGTGCCAAACTGCGCACAACAGAGTCAAACTGCGCGCGTTTTACTTAATAACAGTTGACATATCATGCATTGCTAACGTACTTTGTTTATTCTGGGAAGTACCGTTATGATGTACCGTTATGGTGTAACTAGGCCGTGTGCCAAATTAAAGTTAGCTGACGTCCGACCATAGCTAATTCATCATTATTTTTTAACTTTTAAACGATGAATATATCAGTTATCATGTCCGCTGAAGTTTGCAGTGGTCTGCCATGCGATGTTGAATTTTAAAAAGTCATGTACTGTCATTGGTCCTATTGAAATATTACTTCAAACGAATGCAGTACAATATTGAAATGATAGAGGGATATCTGATATATAATTTGTTAGCGTTGAAACCAATAAAACAAGAAAAAAGTTTAATATTTAAAGTTTGTCAATAAAAACATACATAGTTTCCAGCTCTATTTTGTAAAATGTGGTAATTGACTGCACAGTATATGAAAAAATGATTTGGGTTCAGAGTTAGAACTACCACGTCATCAGAGTGTAAGGTAACGTGCGTACCCCATCTCCCTTTACTTACAGTATTTAACGTTACGCCTATGTGAGTGAGTGAGTTAAGTTTTAAGTCACATCGGCAATATTTCAGCCATATCGTGACTATCAAAGGTTAAAGATTATAAACACTTTGAAACTTCTAAAAAACCTGCCAGTTAATCTGTCCGACACTGATTTTTGAAGCTAGGCAAGTATTCCCCCTCAGACACGAGCATGGACTGACATTTGTCCGTATACATTAACACTGCACATTCCTTCCTCCCAAGCAATCGTATAATGGGAAAATGGTATTGTTGTATGAGTTGTGTTAAAATATGCCACATGATCATGGACAAAATGACGTGTAGAACAGAAATATCCAACATTCCCAAACAAGTGGCGTGTTGATATTACCTTTACACCATCACATATATCGAGACATATAGGCACATACAAAATATGAAACATACGATGCTTGTTAGGAATATATTTCCCAAAACGAATTCATGTTTCATATGTATATTTGTTGATTGGTCCAACAAACATGCAGCGGTTGTTGAAGAAAACGTTTTGTCAAATCGATATCATATTTTCAAATCTGGCACCAGGGCATATGGATTGGTAACACAAGCTAACATATTCGTTAAAGTACAGACATATTTCGGTTGATCTTTGAAATATGTCGATTATTGGTTGTTACCTCTTTAACATATTTACACTAACTGATACATTGTCTCAAACATTTTGAAATATGGTAAAAGTCATTTGAACTAATCTGTTTACACCAAATAAAGTATTTATGTGGCATATAACCTACCTCAGTGACTGCCAATCCTATTTCAATGCTGTATGTAAAGTAGTGTCCGGAGCGAGGGACATTCCGACACCCAGCCGTCTGCCACGATGTCCTGGTAACGTCATCACCTGGAACGTCCGACAGATCAGCAACGACCCCGACATGGACAATGATAGACGTGTTCAAACGGTAAGCGGCTACTCTAATTTGCCTGGCGGACGGAGCCAGCATTCACTGTCAGCCTCGTGGATAGATAAGCTCATTGGGGCATTGACACTTCTCTGAAGAAGTCCTGAAGAGCTCTGAAGAATCCCTCTAAGAAGATGCCCCTGACGCAGTGATTCTGGACACAGGGTTAAATTCCTCCGGGCCGACTATACCATTGCCTGCCTTGTCGGTCGTGTGTAGTCAGTTCTGTGGCAAAAGGTAGGAGATAAAATCAATTGAACCTCTAGTAGCTCAGCCAGCTCATTGGGGGACTGGATGTCGAGCTATAATAGAGATATGGCCCCAAGCTGGTAGTTAAAGATCGATTTCGGTCATTTAAATGACAACGTTAAACTGTTTTCTTTCACAGACCTGACGACTGGGAGATTACGTAACAGAGAGTGGTGATCGTAAACTTGCAGATGTGGAGATACAGGAGTCAATACCTCTGTAAACTGTCAATGAATTGCGTTGATGAAGTGGGTGAGGCAGTCACACAAATATTCCCAGAGCAATTTGTCTGGCAGGTAATGGCGGTTTGCTTCTCTCGCGTTCACCAATCACAGCAGAAAAAAACTATTTCCATATTGAAACTGGGGACGGTCATTCTGATTTCGAATAACTTTCTTAAAATCAAGTTTCCGATATGATTGGCATACACCAACCATTTGGATACAGGAAAAGCATTATGATGCCTAAATAGAAAAACAAAGCATTGTGAAATAACTGGCGTATTCAATTCTGATCAATCAGAGGTTTCAAATCATAATTACCACCTCTAAATTAAAGCAACATATATGGAAAAGTAGTGTTTTTAATCATTTTCATTTAAATTTAACAATTCTCTATGAATACTCACGCTAAGCATTCGGTTCCAAATTCAATCCACCGCCGTCAAATCTGCAGGTATCATGACTTCACATTGAAAGATGTGTATCTACGAATTGGCCTCAAACTCCATGTGCACACAATCACAGCTGTATATAGTGATGACATTAGGCAGACATATAACTATCGCTTACATAGATACATTATGATTGCACGTTCATTAATATGAGCTGCTCCCCACACACCCTACTGCACGATGAAGACTAGGCATACTGCAAATAATCACCAGTTTCCATAATCGCCCATTAATAATGACCATCATCTTTAAAACATGCTTACCATCCACGTCCGACACTCCCTATTATAACATATGTTTTATAAAACATGTTCCGATGCCAGTGCCCCCACCCAGAAGCTGAGATTACGCCCGATTAGTCATTATACCTGCTAATCCTGATTGTTATACAATAAAAATAACCTTGACATACCATAATGATGATTTAGTAATGGATGTATGTCAATTTCACACCTCTGTCATGCAACACCTTACACGCCCTGTAGATTAGCATTGTTACGCTATTACACATAATGGACTTTAGCTATTGTGCCCATTTCAATACATGCTAATTACATCCCTCTAATAGCACCATTTGGTATTTTCGCAATCACACATTTGTTCACCTTAATTTAATAATTTTATATTATATATATACATATACGCCTTTACATATAACTTAGGCGGGTATTTATGAATGAAATGTTGCTCTTCTTGAAATATATATATATATATATATATATATATATATATATATATATATATACAAAAATGAGGTAAATGTTCACTCGGTGTACATGTAATATATAATAAAATAATAAAGTCCACGTTAGTCCATCATCTTCTTTATATCAGTTTCAGACATAGTACTTTCGCTGTCTCATGACTGATATAAAGAAGATGATGTAGTAACGTGGACTTTATTATTTTATCATATATATATATAATTAAATAAGTGAAGTAAGATTGAACACAGTCCCGTATTTACGAATGAAATGTTGCTCTTCTTGAAATAATATAATACATAATTAAATAAGTGAAGTAAGATTGAACACAGTCTTTATTGGCTAGCGCTTTCAACTCGTACCACGTATGAGTCTCATCAGGCCATAACTGAATAACGGACAAGAAGTTGTAACATATAGTTACGTGACGTCTTAACATTTAGGAGAACTATGCGTCACGATTCCAAGGTGACAATGACAAATAACTTACGCCTTTACATTTAACTTAGGCGCGTATTTATGAATAAATGAAACGTTTTAGTTTTCCCTCTATATAAGCTAAATTTTTAGCACGAACCTACATTATTTCAAAAAGAGCAACATTCAATTCACAAATACGCGTCTAAGTTAAATGTAAAGGCGTAAGTTATTCAGTTATGGCCTGATGAGACTCATACGTGGTACGAGTTGAAGTCTAATATTATACAGATCATTAAATTCATTATTATTTATAATTAGCTTGTTGCGATGCTGACTTGATATGTATAATAACCTGTCGTTACTGAAATAGGTAGACAGCACGACGGTATCCACAATAGGAGTGAGTGAGTGAGTTTGGTTTAACGCCGCTTTTAACATTATTCCAGTTATATCACGGCATGTCAGCTCAATGTGGGAGGAAAGCCCGAAATGATGCAGGTCTCAGACGTTTACCACTTCGGTGAAACCCACGAGCACGGTTATGGTGCTGACAAACCTAGAAACATAATCGGGGCGAACCGGGATTCGAACCCACAATCATAGGTTTCTGGCGTGCCCAAGGGACTCAACTCTGCACAGCGAATCGCGGCGCCTTAGACGACTGGGCCACCCGTGCCCCCTCCACATTAGACAACTAAAAACACTCGGATAAATGGTTACTCACGGTTCATCTTTTGACAAAATATAAGCTTTCACATTACATTTTCGAAATCATTTCACTAAACATGCATGTAATAAAGACACACATATGACTGAAGACTGACAAATGATAGTCTTAGATTAAAACTTGTTTGTGGGGATATTCACGACACACATATGACTGAAGACTTACATATGATGGTCTTAGATTAAAACATGTTTGTGGGGATATTCACTGCTTCATTGTTCAATCCCATCGCTCGCATGTTTAATATCAAGTGTGGGAGTGAGTATGGTTTTACGCCGCTTTTAGCAATATTCCAGCAATATCACGGCGGGGACACCAGAAATTGGCTTCACACATTGTACCCATGTCGGGAATCGAACCCCGGTCTTCGGCGTGACGAGCGAACGCTTTAACCACTGGGCTACCCGACCGCCTCGTTTAATATCAAGGATTTGTGATGTTTTGATTTTAATAACATCTATTTGTCAGCACAGCACATCAGTTAACCAGCAACCGCCTCCGTGGTCTAGTGGTAGAGTGTCCGCCCGGAGAGCGGAAGGTCCGGGGTTCAATCCCTCGCCGCGTCATACCAAAAGACGTTAAAATATGGTACTTGTTGTTACTCTGTCTGGCGCTCGGCATTAAGGGTCTAAAACAATGACTGGTCGGCTCGGAGTCAGTATACTGATGATATTCATGTTAAACTGCGGCATGGTATCTCAGTGAGCTAGCACTATAAGTCAACATCAGTCCGGACTAGCACAAGCAGCCACACAGCCACATGCACGTCGCTGTATAAGTGCAATAATCTTGAACGCGACGTTAAGCCCCATTTCACTTCACAGCACCTCAGCTCACCAGTTAACCAGTGACGGGAGCCACTGGTGGGGCAGGATACACTCACCTTTTCGCGAACATCTGCTATCATCACTATTTGATAGTGGTTCACAAACGCATGCTCATTATATGGTCGGAATCGTACAATCGACTCAATCGACAATCGATTTCTATTGGACATGAAAAGGGTTTTGTCGCTTTGTTTATTGTAACTGTTCCGTGGCAATAATTGTTTGATTTACTGCTTCCTGTGTTTCTTTATATGATATGACGTGAACCAGCGATTGTGTCCATCGAGGACATACATGTACAGTGTTCCTTTACCATCAGGTAGCGGTGAACTGAGTTAACTATTAAGATGAGTTCAATATCATGTATGTCGTGTGTAAGTTTGTTGTTTAAAGCCGCACTCTGCACTATTCAACCTGTATGACGGCGGTATGTAAATAATCGTGTCTGGACCAGTGATTGGGCGGTCGGGTAGCCTAGTGGTTAAAGCGTTCGCTCGTCACACCGAAGACCCGGGTTAGATTCCCGACATTGGTACAAAGTGTGAAGCCGTTTCTGATGTCCCCCGCCGTGATATTGCTGGAATATTGCTAAAAGCGGCGTAAAACCATACTCGCTCACTCACTCACTCACTCACTATCCAGTGATTGACATCATGTTCATCGATCCTTGCAATTAGGATATGATGATATGCATCAACCAAGTGAGCGAGCCTGGCCATCCGATCCCGTTACTCGCCACTTACGACAAGCCTGGGTTGTTAACCCGGATCTTCTTTGGTGCCAAAAGTTGCACAGAATGTCAGGATATATGAAAATAAAGAAAGATTGGTGCTTATCTACTTTCCACGTGTATACTAAATGGTCGATGACAACCTCTGTAACTTACACTCCTACATGCATTCTTATTATGTCAACATCAATGAGTGAGTGAGTGAGTTGGGTTTAACGCCGCTTTTAACAGTATTCCAGTTATATCGCGGCGTGTCAGCTTAATGTGGGAGGAATTAAAGGTCTCATACGTTTACCATTTCGGTGAAACCCACGAGCACGGGTATGGTGCTGACAAATCTAGAAACATAATTGGGGCGAACCGGGATTCGAACCCACAATCATAGGTTTCTGGCGTGCCCAAGGGACGCAACTCTGCACAGCGAATTGCGGCGCCCTGGACGACTGGGCCACCCGTGCCCCTTCAACATCAATGCACACCGCCATGCGTGTGTGTGTAGACACAGACGTTACACATATCTAAATGTTTGAAAGATGAATAATACTGGAAAGCTTTCATCAACATGAATAAAAAGAATTCACAAATCAACGCATGTTTCAAATGCGCCAAAACAGTTTGTCATAAAAAGTGGTTATATACATGTAATTCTACAGCCATTAGTGTGGTTTCCATATACAGAACCGTTGCATAACTGATATCAACACCATTAGCTTTACACATGCAGCGCATGCCGTCGCTATTTAAATGTCACGTTTCCCAATATAGCCATATTCAAATAAAACACCGAGGAGTCTATTTCCGTTGTCGCTCAGAATGCCACATGATGCCACTGATGGAAACACGGGGGATGTAGAAGTACAAACAAACAAAACCAAAAT